CAAATTTCTGTCATTTTACACATGTACTGTAACACGTACACATGCGGAATACTGGAGCTCCGTTTCTTAGCCGCACAAAGATCCGATGATAGTTGGTTCGAATTCCATGGCCAGGTGCACTTAGCAGTATTCCAGCTATATGACGGCGGTCTGTAAATAATCGAGTCTGGACCAGACAATCCAGTTATTGACATCATAAGCATCGTTCCACGCAATTGAAATACGATGACATGCATCAACCAAGTCAGCGAGCCTGACCACCCGATCCCGTTAGTCGCGTTTTTCGACGAGCATGGGTTGCTGAAGACCTGTTCTACCCCGGATTTGATACATTGGACCAGTCAGATTATGTTTCACAAGACCTTACATCAGTTTGTTTGTTGTTTTACGCCGCACTTAGCAATATTCCAGCTATATGACGGAGGTCTGAAAATAATCGAGTCTGGACCTGACAATCCAGTGGTTGACATCATGAGCATCGATCCACGCAATTGGGATACGAACGCATGCATCAACCAAGTCAGCGAGCCTGACCACCCGATCCCGTTAGTCGCCTCTAACCACAAGCATAGTCGCCTTTTACCGCAAGCACGGGTCACGAGACCTACACCACAGAGATTCTCGGAATATTTTACACGCGCTTCATTGTCCTTTTCAATAAAACGTACACTGACAAATGGTAAATAAGTCAAGATTTTTCAGACGAAAAATAATAAACGAACGTTATAATAATCCGCCTTACACATCACGCACACTTTGAAAGGCTATCAGCTAAAATGTTTGCATCTTAAATGTTTAAATCTATGATATCGACAATATTTTTGTTAATCTTATTGAGAATTACAGAATAATCCCAATACCTTAGTCGGGAAACCCGGCCTAATATTGGGAATAAATAAAATAATAGAAGTTTACTATTCTTATAACCCGTGAAGATCCGGGATAGAATAGGTCTTCAGCAACTCATGCTTGCCGTAAAAGGCGACTATGATTGTCGTTAGAGGCGACTGACGGGATCGGGTGGTTAGGCTCGCTGACTTGGTTGATGCATGTCATCGTATCCCAATTGCGTGGATCGATGCTCATGATGTCAGTCACTGGATTGTCTGGTCCGCTGTCACATAGCTGGAATATTGCTGATTTCGGGGTTTAACAACAAACAAACTATTCTTTTAAACCTAACGTTATGCTTTTCGTTCTCCAGCCAGGTTTACGCTCATAAACAGGGATGCTATAATATACCCGGGATATTTGTAAAATGGTATGTATAATATAATATACCAGTTATTTTATTATATAACTTCCGTTGATGTTGTAACATATGAATGTTTCTCGCAAGATGGTTGTTTGTTGTTTAACGCCGCCTCAGCAATATTCCAGCTATATGACGGCGGTCTGTAAATAATCGAGTCTGGACCAGACAATCCAGTGATTGACATCATAATCAGCGATCCACGTAATTGGGATACGATGACATACATCAACCAAGTCAGCGAGCCTGACCACCCGATCCCGTTAGTCGCGTTTTACGACAAGCATAGTCGCCTTTTACGGCAAGCATGGGTTGCTGAAGACCTATTGTACCCCGGATATTCACAGATCTCGCAAGACATATGATACAATGTAATGAAATGTAACATCAAACTACAAATGTTTTCTTTATATTCCCGAGGATCGAACACGCAACCTTCGTATCTGTAGCCCAGTGAGTGTGCCACCAGGCTACAGAGGTGCTGATGAATCACGATGCTTTTAAGAGCGTCCAATTCAAGTCCCGTACGCCAGCAACATATATTTTACGTCCGTTTCCTAGGGTTCATCGAAAGCATGTTTGAAACATAAAAATGTTGATAAATGTTGTTTTAAGTTGTTGTTTTTCGCTTCATAAGTTAGATAAAACACTTACCATCGGATTTTATGAGATTTAAAAAACCCTCATCCTCGGGATAAAACCTCGCGACTGAAGCCCCTTGATTTTATCCCTTGGAATCGGGTTTTAAATCTCATGAAAAAAACCTCTGACGTGTTTTATCCTACACTTAGTGTATAGGCTTTCACTTCAGTCTGAGAAGATTTTTTTGCTTCTAAAAAGGTATTTGCAGTGGGTTAAGAATATATATCGCAATGAATGGGTACCAGGTAGGATGAATTGTTAATGTGAGTGTTAACCGTCTAGCGCCTCGCAGGCACCGCCACAACCACATCATCATCATCATCACCAGTAGTGAGTGAGTAAGTATGGTTTTACGCCGCTTAAGGCAATATTCCAGCAATATCACGGCGGGGGACACCAGAAATGGGCTTCACACATTGTACCCTTGTCGGGAATCGAACCCGGGTCTTCGGCCTGAGCGAACGCTTTAACCACTAGGCTACCCGACCGCCCCATCACCAGTAGTAGTAGTAGTAGTAGTAGTAGTACTAGTAGTAGTTATCATCCAAGATCAGAAAGCATGATCTTTTAATTCGTACATTTGGTAATCCGGAGATTTAACAGTGAACTGTCGTGTGTACCATGTTTTCGCGGCACGTATCTGTCAACACGCGAGCCCTCGCGACCCAAACAACATATCCTTTTCATCGTGCGGCTGAAACAACATACAGTGGCCCTGTGAGCACCGTGCTCGCTCATCGCTCCTACTGTCCGGGTTCGATCGTCGACATGTAATAACAGCGAAAACGCCTTTTAAGTACTCTTTCAAACACGTACTTTAATATGCTGCACCTAGCAATTATTCATTGTCAGCCACAGGATTTCCAACTAACATAACACAAATATGGTTTCTTCAGATATTGATATGAATATTTCCAAGGCCATCCTAGCTGGCTGAGATCCCACAGCGGATGGCGTAACGACCCCTGCCCTCACCCTTCTCTCCCTGCTAACCTAACACTACCCTCTCCAGGCCCATGAATTACTGAATACAAATAAGGTCTTCAGAAGTATCGATTAGGCGAATTGGTAATTCCTCAAGTAGCCAGTGATCTTATCGAGGGTTGGCTTTGCTGAGGCTCTGGACCGGCCCTCCCCGGAGTATTGGCGACAATAGTTCTCACAGTTTCAATAAACGTGTGGCAATAACCTGTTCATTGATATCATCACGTTTCATTATTAGTGAGTTAAAATTTAACAACTCGTCGGCAATGTTTTTAAGCCCTTTAGCGACTATTGAATGATTAAAATTCCTATTTCGTTGACTTTACCTGAACGAAGGCCATTTGCGTTGCACATAACCTGTAAGCTAACAGGTAATATGAATTTAAATTCCTACCTGAAACTTGAATGGACATCATGGACTCTGCTTTCCAGTGTGTGCGTGCGTGCGTGCGTGCGTGCGTGCGTGCGTGCGTGCGTGCGTGTGTGTGTGTGCGCCATAGTCGGCAGTTTCAAGCCGCTATACCTGTGGACACGTGACCATACCTGTGGGTACGCGACTATAGATCGTCCATTTATACTCGGATCCGCATTGCATCAGCTCATGTGACATCCTTAGTGCGGTGCATGCTGGGGACCGATGCCATAAAATTAAAACCGGTCCCAGCATTTGACATACAAGCTTGAATTTCCTAAATTTGCATTGGTCAATTAATTGATCAGAGTTTCGTCCCTTAGATACACCAGGATCAGCTGATCTGTTGATCGCATCTATATTGATCCTTTGTTTGTGTATGCTTGTCAGCAACATACCGGTAAGGCAAAAGTATCTCTATTCTAATTATACAAACGCCAAGTATAGGAGGCATAGCCATGATGGCCATTCGCTGTGTGGAGTTGTGTCCCTTTTGTCGTGACAGGATCTGATGTTTGTCTAGTTCGAATCACGTATTCAGCCCGATTGGTTTATTGTGTGTTGTCATGGTAACCGAGATGCTCCACGTCCTGTTGTTCGTCTTTTAGAACTTACCCGTGTTTGTGGCTTTCTCAAAGCGGTAACCGTGCGACAGTTTTTACCGATATTCGACCGATATAACCGAGCTCAAGATATATTGCACTCAAGACAGTGCAAAACTAATAGTGTGTGTATTTATCGACCAAAATTTAAGGAGATGAAATTGTTATACATGGCGAATACGGTGTTGGATCACGTGGTTCAAGCATCCGTTAGTCAGGTCAAATCCGGGTGTGATGTGTTAAGTACATAACAGGCGCTCCTCGTCGTGCCTTTGAATATTGGCAGCATAAAACCCACCTGTAATACCGCATGGTGATCAGAAGTGAGGGTGAGAATGGGGATCTGATGGATGTGGTGTAGGATACACCACCAGCTGTCAGAAGTGTCCCTACCCGTGAAGATCCCGTTAGAATAAGTGCCGTATTAGGCGACTAACGGGATCGGGTGGTCAGAATCGCCGACTTGGTTGATGCATGTCATCGTATTCCAATTGCGTGAATCGATGCTCATGATGTCAATCACTGGATTGTCTGGTCCAGACTCGATTATTTACAGACCGCCGTCACATAGCTGGAATATTGATGAGTACGGCGCCAAAGAACAAACAAACAAACACAACAGTAGTGTCCCGTTGAGATGCACGGCGGGAGTGCGTCTTGTCTTCCTGTTTGAGATATGGCAATATGGTAACCACATAGTTAACTATAACTATAATTATATAGACAACGAATACAACGGGTCCCTGGCTGATTGTGTTTTCCCATACCAAACGCAGATCGACCTTCATTCTATCGGTCACAAGTACATGCCGTCGGCACTGTAGGGTAGGAGTTGCTTCCCTTGGATGTATCAGGACATGCTGGTTGTGACCACACTCATTTTGAATATGATTCGTGGTTTGTAAGAACGCATCATCAGGTTTCTTCTAAGTGAAACAATCTGGGATATGCGTCGCATCAAGCCGCGACGTGACATGACTGAAATACTGTTGAAAACGGCGTTGATGCCGATTCCTCCCAGCACGTGAATCATAAGAAGTCACGCGGATATGACAACATAACTATCACGAGACGAGACCCCCCTGTGGAGCCTCAAAAGACAGTCCCTCATCGCCGATGGGGGTACACTCGTAGAACGTCCGGCGGGGATGCAACAACGCTGAAAGGTACCTCCTGACTTCATCCTCTCTCACTCTGGTCAGTTGTGGTAAGTTCCGTTTTTCTCTCTAAGCTTTGTCTTGAAATATTTCTGTGTAGATTGAAATTATGATCCTCGAACGCTTTAACTCCGCGATTGTTTGAAGTTAAGTACCGTCGAGATATATGTGTTCATAAATAACATTCGAATCCCCGACTCGCCCCGAGTATGTTTTCTCGGTTTGCCAGCCTCCTTCCCGTGCTCGTGTGGTTCAGAGTGTCGTAAACTGACATGACGTGATATTACTGAAAGATTGTTCGAGGCAGAGTTAACCTCACTCACTCACTCACCCAAAACTCACTCACCCAAAACTCACTCACTCACTCACTCACTCACTAACTCACTCACTCACCCAAAACTCACTCACTCACTCACTCACTCACCCGTCCAAGACCCAATCACCCACTCACTCGATCACTCGATCAGTCGATTAGTCGATCACTCACTCACTCACTCACTCACTCACTCACTCACGCACTCACCCACCCACCCACTCACTCACTCACTCACTCACTCCGAAGGCGGGTTCAATGTGTGAAGCCGTGATATTGCTGGAATATTGCTAAAAGTAGTTTACAATACTCACTCACTCACACATAGCCTGACTATTTCCTACTTTCGTACGATCTAATATCTACAATTAGTATCTACCAAGCTCCATGGAGATACTTCGACTCAGTACAGGTAGATGTTTGTGACGCTGATCTACTGGAAAGAGGACATGACACAGTGTTCCAATAGTCCCACAACCAAGGCACCAAGTTAGCCTTAATCCGATGACTGTCTGACCAATGTATATGACACCCACTGGGGAGTGTCGAATATGTGTGTCTGTAGTTCGAGACAAGAGAGTACGAAACGAGTGTGTGTCAGACACCCTTAATCTTACAGCTACAGTAAATTACGTTTATAACGAACACGCTTATAACGAACTGACGGATATAACGTCCATTTATTGTATATATTCCGTACATTTGCTTATTACGAACAACGGTTATAACGAATTAAAATTGAGTTCGTTATAACCGTAGTTTACTGTAGTTGTTTAAACATGCATCTGGCGAAGTCTTTGATAGCATGTATAAGATCGAAGAACATGACCACATGACACTTTAGTGTTGTTATTCATAAAAAGGTGTGTCTTCAAATCTAACGAGTTGTACAATAAATGACATTTGACAGGCACGAGTGCAGTTATCTGTTTCTTATACATCCTAAAATCCTAAATCGACCCGTGAAGATTCCGGGGTAGAATAGTTCTTCAGCAACCCATGCTTGCAGTAAAAGATGACTATGCTTGTCGCAAAAGGCGACTAACGGGATCGGGTGGTCAGGCTCGCTGACTTGGTTGATTCATGCCATCGATCCCAATTGCGTGGATCGATGCTCATGATATCAATCACTGGATTGTCTTGTCCAGACTCGATTATTTACAGACCTCCGTCATATAGCTGGAATATTGCTGAGTGCGGCGTTAAACAACAAACAAACAAACAAACATCCTAAAATCGCACAATTTTAGCATAGAATCAATGCATTGTAAATCCTCATATGCGCATTAATACATAACAAACGGCCATGAGTGACGTCATCCGGTTAACTGATTACAACACATACCTTGTGTTACCCTTCACAAAAAAACAGTTTCTGTCATATCTGTTGATTATCAAAGCGATGATGATTATACAAAAAGATCAAAGAGCATTTACTAAACACCATAAAGACAGAATTTTTCGACACAGACGACCGAAGCAAAATTAAGGTATCACTGACGTTTAATCAGAAAAGTAGTCCGTCATCCCCATAGAGAGAAGTAAAGACGACTTATTTATTACCTATATTTCATACAGATGCGCTTAGTTCTTAAATATCTTTGTGAATACGGCAACCGATACAATGTTGTTAGAGTGAGTGAGTGAGTTATTGCTTTACGTCACATCGGCAGTATTTCAGCCATATCGTGACGACAATGTTGTTTAAAAATATCATACCGCCAAGGTTCTATGAACAATGGTCACGGTTGAAATAGGTTAGACCGCACGGACCCCTGGTGTCTTATCGTTGAAAAGATTACACTACCGGTCCTCGCGCTACAACCTGTACTTAGTCGATATGACCCGTGAAGATCCGGGGTAGAATAGGTCTTCAGCAACCCATGCTTACCATAACAAGCGACTGTGCCTGTCATAAGAGGCGACTAACGGGGTCGGATGGTCAGGCTCACTGACTTGGTTAATGCATGTCATCGTATCTCAATTGCGTGGATCGATGCTCATGATGTCAATCACCGCCATATAGGTGGAATATTGCTGAGCGCGGCGGTAAACAACAGACAGGCAGACAGACAGATAGGCAGGCAGACAGACAGACAGTCGACATGTATCGAGGTTCCACACAGTTCTGCAGAATACTGGCTTCTTTCTTCGAAGCTGCTTGGACAACAGCGACAGTTCGATATATCAGGATTTACAATGATCTGTCTATTTTTTGGATTGAATGAACGTCATTTGTTTGGTTATCGAGAACAATGAAATTATTGCTATATTGTTGTGATATTGAAAAGACATTATTCAAACATCGGTTTTGACTACTACACATCTTGTCTTTGGTTCCGCTTTTATAGTGAGTGAGTGAGTTGGGTTTGACGCCGCTTTTAACATTATTCCAGTTATATCACGGCGTGTCAGCTTAATGTGGGAGGAAAGCCCGAAGTGATGCAGGTCTTAGAGACGTTTACCACTTCGGTCAAACCCACGAGCACGGGTATGGTGCTGACAAACCTAGAAACATAATCAGGGCGAACCGGGATTCGAACCCACAATCATAGGTTTCTGGCGTGCCCAAGGGACGCAACTCTGCACAGCGAATCGCGGCGCCTAAGACGACTGGGCCACCCGTGCCTGCTCCGCTTTTATAGATTTTACACACTTCAGTATTAGATTTCTGTAAAGCGTTGAAATTTGAATTGAAAACACTGGCAGAAATCGTTCCTCTCTTTTACTTGTATTGTGTCTCTCCGTTACTTGTATTGTGTCTCTCCGTTACTTGTATTGTGTCTCTCCGTTACTTGTATTTTAGCTCTACTTCACTTGTATTTCAGACCCAAGGACGATGTTCAAGGATTTGCTCTGTTTGATCGTTGCCGCCATGTCCTGGCGTGACGTCACGTGTAGCTATGCAAATAACACACGTGAGTACTACTTGTGCAGTTACAATATATCTGAATGTAGTGTTGTTGATTGTCACACTAGGACAATAGATAGGCGCCGGTGTTGTGTGCCTTGGGGTTATCACTCGGGGAGTCTCACCCTCGTTATCCTGTCGATTATATCTCAATTCTATTTTGATTCATACATGTATTTGTCAAACTACTAATTGTGGAACACTCGCCAACAACTTGTGATCCAGGTCTCACCAGGGGTGGTGGAAAGGAAATAGTGTTCGCTTCTCGAACCACTTTTTCGGGTTCGATCGTCGGCATTGGGTAAACGGGTGGTCAACAATGATTAAATTCGTTTTTGATGTTTTGAAACTGATTCTTGATTCTAAACTGACGACCAAAACATTTACTATTATCTTAAATCGCACAAGTTTAAAAACCATAAAAGATAGATGAGAGAAAAAAAGTGTATTGAAAAGATCAAAACGAAATCAACATTTAAAATGACAGTCACACAGCATCCGATATTGGACTGACAGTTGCCCGAATAAAGGTAGGGTAGCAAAAACAAGCTTTCAACGTGATGGACAAAGGGAATACACATCTAAAATCGCTCAAGTTCAGTGACACTTCACATTAATAACGTGTATAACAACCCCCAGCTTGAAGACACGCAAAAACTCTCCGGTGCACAGAAAACGTCAGTCGTCTAAAGACGTCACGTGGGATACATCGCCATTCTTCCTGAAGGGCCTGTCGACTAATCATATACCCTAAGGCAATTGTTGTACAATTGCAAAGTACCAGTCTTCATTGAGCGTAGTTACCCTGGGTCTGCTTGTTCTTTGTCTGTCTGAGGCCTGCCCGGTCTGTCAATAACATTGCGTCACGTTAGTTACAGCAACACTTGAGGATCCCAAACTGGGATCTTGCAATGAGGGCATAGGTGGCTCCCATCTGTATGGTACCCAGGGCCCGCTGGCGTTGTTCTGGTGTCAGACGTGGCATTTCACTGGTGTTTGTTTTGTCTGTGTGTGTTTTTTTGGGTTTTTCTATCTGTGTGTGCCTGGCATGCCGTCCGTATCATTTATTGCAACTGTATTTTCGGCTGCCCATGCGGCACGTGTTTTTCACTTTTTCGCATTTTCTACGAAACAAATGTACCGTGGATGTAAATCACTTCCTGTAAAGAACAATGTTGTGTTGGACGATGTGTTTTGCATACGTATTTCATTTCAAAGTTTCTTTATGCGAGACAATTGCACCAACATTCACTCATTCACTTACCCAATCACCTAACCACCTAATCACCCACCTACTCACTCACTCACTCACTCACTCACTCACTCTCACATCCGCACGCACGCACACACACACACACACACACACACACACACACACACACACACACACACACACACACACACACACAATCACTTACTAAACTAACCACCCTCCCACCCACTCACTCGCTCACTCATTCTTTTAGTGACGCTGGACTTAACGCACGTGTGTGCCAACAGACTGTACCGGGTCGACCACTCCAGTAATTTCACCGTGGAGGGTAACACGTCATCCCGCTCCCCCCAGAACGCGTGGTGGGAGTTACAGGGGGGACGGTGTGAGGTGTCATTCGAGACCTCGGAGGACCAGGGCTTATGTATCAATATGTATGAGATCGAACTGTTGCCTCATATCACCATAGACTTCAAAACTACAGCCTACCGACCAGACAAGGTAGGTGAACAATTGCCATACTGATAAATATGATTATCATACTTCCATGTCAGATCGATGAAATCTGATTGGTCAACATGATCTTGATAAAATATTGTGTATCGAGCCTTTGAGGGGAATATATTTCTCAGCGGGGGAAAGAAATCTCTTACACCCCGCCACGAGCATGTCAGGCCGCACGTGGATTTCTGCGAGGCAGAATATATCCCTTATACCCCAAAAGCAAAAAGCCCCACGCTGGAAGTAACTAACCTCAGCTCAATCGAACAGCTGTTTTCTATCAATATTGAATTTGTTTTAATTCTTTAACAATGTCATATTAAAAATGTCGGTAAGATAAATTCCTTGTAGCAGGATCACTCGGGGCTTCATGCGTCCCTCGTTAGGTTTTGTACTACTCGTCTCCGGCGCGTGCTATAAAACCTAACGCCGGAGGCATACAACCGGATGTACCCCTCGTGATGCTACTACAACTTATATAAGTGATTCTGAACCTGAGTGAAGGCTCTCTGTGTGTGAAGCCTGGATAGTCCAGTTATCACAATACAAGGATCCGTCGGGTACGGGTTCGAATCCAAGATTCGATCCGACTATGATTCTTGGTCCGACAGCACTATGCAAGTACTCGTAGGTATCATCAACGTGGTAGCGTTTAAGATCTGAATCACTTTAAACTTTTCACAATCATGAAGCAAATACGTCGTGGTATAACTGTAATACTGTTTAAAGCGGCGTTGAACCTCACTCACTCACTCACTCACTCACTCACTCATTTACTCACTCACTCACTCACTCACTCAATCACCCATTCACTCACCCACTTACTCACTCACTCACTCACTCACCAACAGTAACATGTGGAACAGCTGTCCATCGTCTTTATTCGTTCCAGGATTCCAGTTTCATACAATACATAAATGTATATAAAAATGGAAATCGGGGCCGATACTGCGGAATATGGAACGGTATATGGCTCCGTTTGTACAGTTCCTTTTGATGTGACGCTGAATGCTGTCTAGGAATACAACACGAGTCCTCCCCGGCCGGAGTAAAACGGAGATGCCATCTCTGCACCAATGTTGATGTTTCCAATAATCGATATCTCCTTAATTCTTCAGGTCGCGGAGTAATTCCTTGTAATTAGACTTGTAATATAAATGTAAATACCGGTAATCGACTCTCGGCGGAAGGTTACATTGATACGGGAACGCATGTAATCACACTCAATGTATGATAGGGTACGATGAGGCATTATACTGCCGCCGACTTCACCGGAAGGGGAATTTGTGAACCAGTCGTTTAAGGCTCTGCAGAGTTGCGTCCCTTATTTCATAACTTCAGATTTTCACCCCACATTAAACTGTCATCCCGGGGCATAGTGAGTGAGTGAGTTTGATTTTACGCCGCTTTTAGGAATATTCCAACTAATCACGTCGGGGGACACCAGAAATTGCCTTCACACATTGTTCCCATGTCGGGAATCGAACCCGGGTTTTTGGCGTGACGAGTGAACGCTTTAACCACTAGGCTACCCGACCGACCCGGCCGGGATATAAGTGAACTATTTTTCAAAGTGTTCACCGCCGGTGAACGCATTTCATTTAAGATAATAATTAAGAATTGACTTTCACTTTGTGTCAGTTCATAGTGAGGGCCAAACTGTATGAACGTCGCAAATTTCTTACCCCAAAGGATGTAGGCCATGATCTTAACACAATTTTATTCAGTACGTGTGACTTCATGTTTACACTAACAGCCATACAACAACCAGCTGTATCGCGGAGTAAAATAGTTCCTTTAAAAGAGAGGTGACATGGGCGTATTGATGCACAACTTGCTCTTCAGAAACATCTTACGCAGCACATGTATTCAAATCATATCCTCATTAGATGAGAAAGGTCTGTAAAGAACTACCTCAGCAAGTCAGTCACAATGACAGCGCGTCGTAATACATATACATCAAGTACAAGACGTCAAAATGGCCGACACGATAAACGTGACGGGAGAGATTTCCTAAGTTGTTAATGAACCTGTGAACCTGATGTGTTAGTCATCATTGATCAACTGGCCGATCATTGAAAGGTGAATAAAGATGCGTCAAACAGACACTAAGGTAAATTCATAGATTGCTGGAGACGGTCAATGTCAGCCTAGGCTTCGATGTGCATTTCTTCATTTGTTCATTAGGATAGGCCGCGGCAAGGATATTCGTGAACAATCATGCAGTCATGCTCTCTGACATTTCTCAACGTATACTGAAACGCTGAGACCAAGAATAAATTAAAGGTTCTAAATGATCAGAAAGAACGCTTATGTATGTTTTGGTGGTAGGGAATTCCCAGGGGCTTCCCCAGGTATGTGGAAGTAGTCCGTCAGTGTTTACGTCATTTCAAGAACACGGTCTCGTGAAAAACGTATGAACTTCAAATTGTGTCGTTCATACACTTATGAACGTCAATTTCGCGGTCATGTGACCTACCTCTCGTCCAATGGAAAACCCGTATATCGTGACAACTTCAAATTAAAAAATTATTAACGCATAGATCAGATGTATCCTTTGTTCTGGGCAGAGTACATCACAAAACTACACAATACCTAAGCAAATCGTTAAATAATGTTACCAAAAACTCTCGTAATCGGGTAAATATGGGAGCAGATGATTATGCATCAGATTAACTGCCGGGCGAAAGAAAATGTGCACTTGGAAATTGCGTCCTCCATGTTCATTGAGACGTCACGTGCACGTCACCTGATGTGAGATAATCATCTAAATGATGCAGACCGCCTCCGTGGCCTAGTGGTAGAGCGTCCGCCCGGAGAGCGGAAGGTCCGGGGTTTGATCCCCGGTCGCGTCATACCAAAAGGCGTTAAAAGATGATATTTGTTGTTACCCTGTCTGGCGCTCGGAATTAAGGGGCTAAAGCAAGGACTGGTCGGCTCGGAGTCAGTATACTGTGTCTGAGTGGGGTATTCATGTTAAACTGCGGCATGGTATCTCAGTGAGCTAGCACTATAAATCGGCATCAGTCCGGCCTAGTACAAGCAGCCACACACACGTGCATGCACGTCTCTATATAAGTGCAATAATCTTGGACGCGATGTTAAACCCAATTTCACCTCACCTCACCTCTAAATGATGCATGTAATATCGCCAACGATACCCGTCTCAAATACATCACCATCGAATAACCATTTCTTGTTTGTTTCATTTTTAGCCACCAACAAATATGGGCGTGTACTTCTTTTGACCGGAAAAGGGCGGTCGGGTAGCCTAGTGGTTAAAGCGTTCGCTCGTCATGCCGAAGACCCGGGCTCGTTTTCCGAAATGGGTACAATGTGTGAAGCCCATTTCTTGTGTCCCCCGCCGTGATTTTGCTGGAATATTGCTAAAAGCGGCGTTAAACCATACTCACTCACTCACTTTTGACATGAAATCTCTACATTGAAATCTCTACATTGAAAATGAACTCGCAATTACACTTTAAATTTGGCGGTGCGATACTTTTGACGAGCTGTATATTTGTATGCTTCCAAGTGCGCTGTAATGTGGATGTACTTGTTCAGCGCTACAGGCGAGGGGAGTCGACGGGGGAGTGGTGCACACACAAGAACCTCCTGACGATGGAGATTACGATAAGGGGGAAGGAAAGAAAACATCCAGGCTTTCAGTTCGGGTTCGACGTCCGGAACAAGACGCTGGACCACATCGAGAGAGTGTGTGAGTATGGTATAATAATAATACTAATACTAATAATAATAATAATGATAATAATAATAATAATAATAATAATAATAATAATAATAAAAATATAATACTAATAATAATAATAATAAATAATCATAACAATTATTATTATTATAATTATTATTATTATTATTATTATAATTATTATTATAATAGACCATTAATATTGTGTATATTTCCACACCACACCGGGGCGAGCTCAAACAGCTATTATTACTCCGGGCACTGGATCAGTGTGCACTCAATAATCAATCTCAGCTCCCTTGGGAGTATTCAACCGTAAGCTGCCTGTTAGGCGCTAGAAGCTTTATATCAATTAATTAAACAACTACACACAAACACATTTTTATTCTTCATACCAGACCCGTGAAAATCAAGGATAAAATAGGTCTTCAGCAACCCTTGCTTGCCGTAAAATGCGACCATGTTTGTCGTAAGAGGCGATTAACGGGATCGAGTGGTCGGGCTCTCTGACTTGGTTGATGCATGTCATCGTATCAGTCTTTGGATTTTCTGGTCCAGACTCGATTATTTACAGACCGCCGTCATGTTTCTGTAATATTGCTGAGTGCGGCGTTAAACAACAAACAAACAAAACAAAACATTACGTTATTTCAACCGATAATGTTTGCTCCTAATAATAACACAATCATATACATCCGATAATACTTGACCCCTTGACGGCAGACAACATGGGCTCCGCCACCGACTGCAACATGGGCTACACTCTGCGACAGACTGAAACAGCCATTGTGAAATCAGTACAGGTATTTGACCAGCCGCCATTGGAGTGTGAAATGACCTTCACCTCACAGTCGACAGAGGAATATGGCCAGGTGAGTTATAATTCCCATCAAATGTTTTTCCTCTTCTTTTTGACGATGGCACTGTTGGTATCGTGCCTCAATCATTCGTACAAATGATGAACCGGTTTTAGTGAAAATTGTTCCAAATGCATATACATCACCGCCAATTGCCAAAGCATAAACAGATGGTTTGCAACCTGACTGCTACGCAAATATATCTACAGCTAAAATGCTACCTGTTTATAATGCGAAAATATCTACAGACAATTTGAAAAATGTTGCTTTAAACTGAACACAGTGAACAGAAAACTGTGACAACAAACATGTTTATTTCAGACAATGGGAGACAACTAACATATATTTCAGGCAATGGGAGACAACTAACATATGTTTCAGGCAATGGGAGACAACTAGCATATATTTCAGGCAATGGGAGACAACTAGCATATATTTCAGGCAATGGGAGACAACTAGCATATATTTCAGGCAATGGGAGACAACTAGCATATGTTTCAGGCAATGGGAGACAACTAGCATATGTTTCAGGCAATGGGAGACAACTAACATATATTTCAGGCAATGGGAGACAACTAGCATATATTTCAGGCAATGGGAGACAACTAGCATATGTTTCAGGCAATGGGAGACAACTAACATATTTCAGGCAATGGGAGACAACTAGCTTATATTTCAGGCAATGGGAGACAACTAGCATATGTTTCAGGCAATGGGAGACAACTAGCATATATTTCAGGCAATGGGAGACAACTAGCATATATTTCAGGCAATGGGAGACAACTAGCATATATTTCAGGCAATGGGAGACAACTAGCAAATATTTCAGGCAATGGGAGACAACTAGCATATATTTCAGGCAATGGGAGACAACTAGCATATATTTCAGGCAATGGGAGACAACTAGCATATATTTCAGGCAATGGGAGACAACTAGCATATATTTCAGGCAATGGGAGACAACTAGCAAATATTTCAGGCAATGGGAGACAACTAGCATATATTTCAGGCAATGGGAGACAACTAGCATATATTTCAGGCAATGGGAGACAACTAGCATATATTTCAGGCAATGGGAGGCAACTAGCATATATTTCAGGCAATGGGAGACAACTAGCAAATATTTCAGGCAATGGGAGACAACTAGCATATATTTCAGGCAATGGGAGACAACTAGCATATATTTCAGGCAATGGGAGACAACTAGCAAATATTTCAGGCAATGGGAGACAACTAGCATATATTTCAGGCAATGGGAGACAACTAGCATATATTTCAGGCAATGGGAGACAACTAGCATATATTTCAGGCAATGGGAGACAACTAGCATATATTTCAGGCAATGGGAGGCAACTAGCATATATTTCAGGCAATGGGAGGCAACGCACAGATATAGTTCAGGCAATGGGAGACAATAAACTTATTTCAGGCCTTGGGAGGCAAATATATATTTCAGGCAATGGTAGACAACAAACATATTTCAGGCAGTGGGAGACAACGAACAGATATAGTTCAGGCAATGGGAGATAACGAACATATATATTTTTCATGTTTCAGGTGTGTGTGAGTGTGAAGAAATTCAAACCCCGGTATGGATGCCGCATGGAGCTGAAACTCAGTCAGTTGGACCAGGATCACTGGCCGGCCGAGGTGGTAGGTATCGCGGTATAGTCCTGGAACAGTCAGTTGGACCTGGATCACTGGCCGGCCGAGGTGGTAGGTATCGCTGTATAGTCCTGAAACAGTCAGTTGGACCTGGATCACTGGTCGGCCGAGGTGGTAGGTATCGCGGTATAGTCCTGGAACAGTCAGTTGGACCTGGATCACTGGCCGGCCGAGGTGGTAGGTATCGCTGTATAGTCCTGAAACAGTCAGTTGGACCTGGATCACTGGTCGGCCGAGGTGGTAGGTATCGCTGTATAGTCCTGGAACAGTCAGTAGGACCTGGATCACTGGTCGGCCGAGGTGGTAGGTATCGCGGTATAGTCCTGGAACAGTCAGTAGGACCTGGATCACTGGTCGGCCGAGGTGGTAGGTATCGCGGTATAGTCCTGGAACAGTCAGTTGGACCTGGATCACTGGCCGGCCGAGGTGGTAGGTATCGCTGTATAGTCCTGAAACAGTCAGTTGGACCTGGATCACTGGTCGGCCGAGGTGGTAGGTATCGCGGTATAGTCCTGGAACAGTCAGTTGGACCTGGATCACTGGCCGGCCGAGGTGGTAGGTATCGCTGTATAGTCCTGAAACAGTCAGTTGGACCTGGATCACTGGTCGGCCGAGGTGGTAGGTATCGCTGTATAGTCCTGGAACAGTCAGTAGGACCTGGATCACTGGTCGGCCGAGGTGGTAGGTATCGCGGTATAGTCCTGGAACAGTCAGTAGGACCTGGATCACTGGTCGGCCGAGGTGGTAGGTATCGCTGTATAGTCCTGAAACAGTCAGTTGGACCTGGATCACTGGTCGGCCGAGGTGGTAGGTATCGCGGTATAGTCCTGGAACAGTCAGTTGGACCTGGATCACTGGCCGGCCGAGGTGGTAGGTATCGCTGTATAGTCCTGAAACAGTCAGTAGGACCTGGATCACTGGTCGGCCGAGGTGGTAGGTATCGCGGTATAGTCCTGGAACAGTCAGTAGGACCTGGATCACTGGTCGGCCGAGGTGGTAGGTATCGCGGTATAGTCCTGGAACTCAGTCAGTTGGACCAGGACCACTGGCCGGCCGAGGTGGTAAGTATCGCTGTATAGTCCCGGAACTCAGTCAGTTGGACCTGGACCACTGGCCGGCCGAGGTGGTAGGTATCGCTGTATAGTCCTGAAACTCAGTCAGTTGGACCTGGACCACTGGCCGGCCGAGGTGGTAAGTATCGCTGTATAGTCCCGGAACTCAGTCAGTTGGACCTGGACCACTGGCCGGCCGAGGTGGTAGGTATCGCGGTATAGTCCTGGAACAGTCAGTTGGACCTTGACCACTGGCCGGCCGAGGTGGTAGGTATCGCTGTATAGTCCTGGAACTCAGTCAGTTGGACCTGGACCACTGGCCGGCCGAGGTGGTAAGTATCGCTGTATAGTCCCGGAACTCAGTCAGTTGGACCTGGACCACTGGCCGGCCGAGGTGGTAAGTATCGCTGTATAGTCCTGAAACTCAGTCAGATGGACCTGGACCACTGGCCGGCCGAGATTATATGACCGTTCATGCATGATTGTGACGATGTGGAGTGTCTGGTTCAGATATATATGACCGTTCATACATGATTGTGCAGATGTGGAGTGTCTGGTTCAGATGTATATGACCGTTCATACATGATTGTGGCTATGTGGAGTGTCTGGTTCAGATATATATGACCGTTCATACATGACTGTGACGATGTGGAGTGTCTGGTTCAGATATATATGACCGTTCATACATGATTGTGACGATGTGGAGTGTCTGGTTCAGATATATATGGCCGTTCATACATGATTGTGACGATGTGGAGTGTCTGGTTCAGATATATATGACCGTTCATACATGCTTGTGACGATGTGGAGTGTTTGTTTCAGATATATATGGCCGTTTATACATGACTGTGACTATGTGGAGTGTCTGGTTCATATATACATGGCCGTTCATACATGTATGTGACGATGTGGAGTGTCTGGTTCAGATATATATGGCCGTTCATACATGACTGTGACTATGTGGAGTGTCTGGTTCAGATGTATATGACTGTTCATACATGATTGTGACGATGTGGGGGTGTTTGGTTCAGATGTATATGACCGTTCATACATGATTGTGACGATGTGGTGGTGTCTGGTTCAGATATATATGGCCGTTCATACATGATTGTGACGATGTGGAGTGTCTGGTTCAGATATATATGGCCGTTCATACATGATTGTGACGATGTGGAGTGTCTGGTTCAGATATATATGACCGTTCATACATGATTGTGACTATATGGAGTGTCTGGTTCAGATGTATATGACCGTTCATACATGATTGTGACGACGTGGAGTGTCTGGTTCAGATACATATGACCGTTCATACATGACTGTGACGATGTGGAGTGTCTGGTTCAGATATATATGGCCGTTCATACATGACTGTGACTATGTGGAGTGTCTGGTTCATATATATAGGGCCGTTCATACATGACTGTGACGATGTGGAGTGTCTGGTTCAGATATATATGACCGTTCATACATGATTATGACTATATGGAGTGTCTGGTTCAGATGTATATGACCGTTCATACATGATTGTGACGATGTGGAGAGTCTGGTTCAGATATATATGACCGTTCATACATGATTGTGACGATGTGGGGGTGTCTGGTTCAGATGTATATGACCGTTCATACATGATTGTGACGATGTGGAGTGTCTGGTTCAGATATATATGACCGTTCATACATCATTGTGATGATGTGGAGGTGTCTGTTCAGATGTATATGACCGTTCATACATGATTGTGACGACGTGGGATGTCTAGTTCAGATATATATGACCGTTCATACATGATTGTGACGATGTGGGGGTGTCTGGTTCAGATGTATATGACCGTTCATACATGATTGTGACGATGTGGAGTGTCTGGTTCAGATATATATGACCGTTCATACATCATTGTGATGATGTGGAGGTGTCTGTTCAGATGTATATGACCGTTCATACATGATTGTGACGATGTGGAGCGTATGGGTCAGATATATATGACCGTTCATACATGATTGTGACGATGTGGAGTGTCTGGTTCAGATGTATATGACCGTTCACACATGATTGTGACGATGTGGAGTGTCTGGTTCAGATGTATATGACCGTTCACACATGATTGTGACGATGTGGAGTGTCTGGTTCAGATGTATATGACCGTTCATACATGATTGTGACGATGTGATGGTGTTTGGTTCAGATGTATATGACCGTTCACACATGATTGTGACGATGTGGAGTGTCTAGTTCAGGTGTATATATGACCGTTCATACATGATTGTGACGATGTGGAGTGTCTGGTTCAGATGTATATGACCGTTCATACATGATTGTGACGACGTGGGATGTCTAGGTCAGATATATATGACCGTTCATACATGATTGTGACGATGTGGGGGTGTCTGGTTCAGATGTATATGACCGTTCATACATGATTGTGACGATGTGGAGTGTCTGGTTCAGATATATATGACCGTTCATACATCATTGTGATGATGTGGAGGTGTCTGTTCAGATGTATATGACCGTTCATACATGATTGTGACGATGTGGAGTGTTTGGTTCAGATATATATGACCGTTCATACATGATTGTGACGATGTGGTGGTGTCTGGTTCTGATGTATATGACCGTTCACACATGATTGTGACGATGTGGAGTGTCTGGTTCAGATGTATATGACCGTTCACACATGATTGTGACGATGTGGAGAGTCTGGTTCAGATGTATATGACGGTTCATACATGATTGTGACGATGTGGTGGTGTTTGGTTCAGATGTATATGACCGTTCATACATGATTGTGACGATGTTGAGCGTCTGGTTCAGATGTATATGACCGTTCATACATGATGGTGACGATGTGGAGTGTCTGGTTCAGATGTATATGACCGTTCACACATGATTGTGACGATGTGGAGTGTCTGGTTCAGATGTATATGACTGTTCATACATGATTGTGACGATGTGGAGTGTCTGGTTCAGATGTATATGACTGTTCACACATGATTGTGACGATGTGGAGTGTCTGGTTCAGATGTATATGACTGTTCATACATGATTGTGACGATGTGGTGGTGTCTGGTTCAGATGTATGTGACCGTTCATACATGATTGTGACGATGTGGAGTGTCTGGTTCAGATGTATATGACTGTTCATACATGATTGTGACGATGTGGTGGTGTCTGGTTCAGATGTATATGACCGTTCATACATGATTGTGACGATGTGGTGGTGTCTGGTTCAGATATATGTGACCGTTCATACATGATTGTGACGATGTGGTGGTGTCTGGTTCAGATGTATATGACTGTTCATACATGATTGTGACGATGTGGTGGTGTCTGGTTCAGATGTATATGACCGTTCATACATGATTGTGACGATGTGGTGGTGTCTGGTTCAGATGTATGTGACCGTTCACACATGATTGTGACGATGTGGTGTTGTCTGGTTCAGATGTATATGACCGTTCATACATTATTGTGACGATGTGGAGTGTCTGGTTCAGATGTATATGACTGTTCACACATGATTGTGACGATGTGGAGTGTCTGGTTCAGATGTATATGACTGTTCATACATGATTGTGACGATGTGGTGGTGTCTGGTTCAGATGTGTGTGACCGTTCATACATGATTGTGACGATGTGGAGTGTCTGGTTCAGATGTATATGACTGTTCATACATGATTGTGACGATGTGGTGGTGTCTGGTTCAGATGTATGTGACCGTTCATACATGATTGTGACGATGTGGTGGTGTCTGGTTCAGATGTATGTGACCGTTCATACATGATTGTGACGATGTGGTGGTGTCTGGTTCAGATGTATATGACTGTTCATACATGATTGTGACGATGTGGTGGTGTCTGGTTCAGATGTATATGACCGTTCATACATGATTGTGACGATGTGGTGGTGTCTGGTTCAGATGTATGTGACCGTTCACACATGATTGTGACGATGTGGTGGTGTCTGGTTCAGATGTATATGACCGTTCACACATGATTGTGACGATGTGGTGTTGTCTGGTTCAGATGTATATGACCGTTCATACATGATTGTGACGATGTGGTGGTGTCTGGTTCAGATGTATATGACCGTTCACACATGATTGTGACGATGTGGTGTTGTCTGGTTCAGATGTATATGACCGTTCATACATGATTGTGACGATGTGAAGTGTCTGGTTCAGATGTACGACTGTAAGACGAAGAAGGAGTCCACACAGGAGGTGTGTTCCAGGAATAAGGTCCTCGTCATCAAGCTGAAGAGAGGAAACGTCTCTCAGAGTGCGGCCAACTTTGAACTCAAAGTTGCCAGCAAGTTGATGCCACGTGAGTCTGTCTTCAAAACATATGACGTCATGAACATGTTGACTTGCGACAAAAGAAGTAAGGACCATCCGATTCTTTCTTTCATGGCATATCAGATAGACTGTAGTAATATGAGAGCACCCGATTCTTTCTTTCATGGCATATCAGATAGACTGTAGTAATATGAGAGCACCCGATTCTTTCTTTCATGGCATATCAGATTGACAATAGTAATATGAGAGCACCTGATTCTTTCTTTCATGGCATATCAGATAGACTATAGTAATATGAGATCACCCGATTCTTTCTTTCATGGCATATCAGATAGACTATAGTAATATGAGAGCATTCGATTCTTTCTTTCATGGCATATCAGATTGACTATAGTAATATGAGAGCACCCGATTCTTTCTTTCATGGCATATCAGATTGACTATAGTAATATGAGAGCACCCGATTCTTTCTTTCATGGCATATCAGATAGACTATAGTAATATGAGAGCACCCGATTCTTTCTTTCATGGCATATCAGATTGACTATAGTAATATGAGAGCACCCGATTCTTTCTTTCATGGCATATCAGATTAACTATAGTAATATGAGAGCACCCGATTCTTTCTTTCATGGCATATCAGATAGACTATAGTAATATGAGAGCACCCGGTTCTTTCTTTCATGGCATATCAGATAGACTATAGTAATATGAGAGCACCCGATTCTTTCTTTCATGGCATATCAGATTGACTATAGTAATATGAGAGCACCCGATTCTTTCTTTCATGGCATATCAGATTGACTATAGTAATATGAGAGCACCCGATTCTTTCTTTCATGGCATATCAGATTAACTATAGTAATATGAGAGCACCCGATTGTTTCTTTCATGGCATATCAGATAGACTATAGTAATATGAGAGCACCCGATTCTTTCTTTCATGGCATATCAGATTGACTATAGTAATATGAGATCACCCGATTCTTTCTTTCATGGCATATCAGATAGACTATAGTAATATGGGAGCATCCGATTCTTTCTTTCATGGCATATCAGATTGACTATAGTAATATGAGAGCACCCGATTCTTTCTTTCATGGCATATCAGATTGACTGTAGTAATATGAGAGCACCCGATTCTTTCTTTCATGGCATATCAGATAGACTGTAGTAATATGAGAGCACCCGTTTCTTTCTTTCATGGCATATCAGATTAACTATAGTAATATGAGAGCACCCGATTCCTTCTTTCATGGCATATCAGATTGACTGTAGTAATATGAGAGCACCCGATTCTTTCTTTCATGGCATATCAGATTGACTATAGTAATATGAGAGCACCCGATTCTTTCTTTCATGGCATATCAGATTGACTATAGTAATGTGAGATCACCCGATTCTTTCTTTCATGGCATATCAGATAGACTGTAGTAATATGGGAGCACCCGATTCTTTCTTCCATGGCATATCAGATTGACTATAGTAATATGAGAGCACCCGATTCTTTCTTTCATGGCATATCAGATAGACTATAGTAATATGAGAGCACCCGATTCTTTCTTTCATGGCATATCAGATTGACTATAGTAATATGAGAGCACCCGTTTCTTTCTTTCATGGCATATCAGATTGACTATAGTAATATGAGAGCACCCGATTCTTTCTTTCATGGCATATCAGATTGACTATAGTAATATGAGATCACCCGATTCTTTCTTTCATGGCATATCAGATAGACTATAGTAATATGGGAGCATCCGATTCTTTCTTTCATGGCATATCAGATTGACTATAGTAATATGAGATCACCCGATTCTTTCTTTCATGGGATATCAGATTGACTATAGTAATATGGGAGCATCCGATTCTTTCTTTCATGGCATATCAGATTGACTATAGTAATATGAGAGCACCCGATTCTTTCTTTCATGGCATATCAGATTGACTATAGTAATATGAGATCACCCGATTCTTTCTTTCATGGGATATCAGATTGACTATAGTAATATGGGAGCATCCGATTCTTTCTTTCATGGCATATCAGATTGACTATAGTAATATGAGAGCACCCGATTCTTTCTTTCATGGCATATCAGATTAACTATAGTAATATGAGAGCACCCGATTCTTTCTTTCATGGCATATCAGATAGACTATAGTAATATGAGAGCACCCGATTATTTCTTTCATGGCATATCAGATTGACTATAGTAATATGAGAGCACCCGATTCTTTCTTTCATGGCATATCAGATTGACTGTAGTAATATGAGAGCACCCGATTCTTTCTTTCATGGCATATCAGATAGACTGTAGTAATATGAGAGCACCCGTTTCTTTCTTTCATGGCATATCAGATTAACTATAGTAATATGAGAGCACCCGATTCTTTCTTTCATGGCATATCAGATTGACTGTAGTAATATGAGAGCACCCGATTCTTTCTTTCATGGCATATCAGATTGACTATAGTAATATGAGAGCACCCGATTCTTTCTTTCATGGCATATCAGATAGACTATAGTAATATGAGAGCACCCGATTCTTTCTTTCATGGCATATCAGATTGACTATAGTAATATGAGAGCACCCGATTCTTTCTTTCATGGCATATCAGATTGACTATAGTAATATGAGAGCACCCGATTCTTTCTTTCATGACATATCAGATTGACTATAGTAATATGAGAGCACCCGATTCTTTCATATTAGTTCATTTGTCCTATGACAGAATCGGTTGATCCTTAACTTGTATTGAGTAGTATTTAATAGCACTCCAGGTCAAACGATAGAGTATCCTTTGCTTAAACATAAATTTTGTTAGCCAACATAGGACTTTTACTCTAGCTAGACACAATCGAATTGCTTACAGTAAACACAGTGGTTATTCTCCGGGGCTTCGTCAGCATTTCGGGCTAAGCCCATGCCAACCCGTGCTTGTCGTAACATGCAACTTAGTGGATCGGGTGGTCTGGCTCGGTGACTTGGTTGAATGCATGTCATCGTATCTCGACGGCGTGGAATGTTGCTCATGACATCAGTCATTGGATTATCTGGTCCAGACTCGATTATTAACATGCTAACGTCATAATGCTAAAATTAAACAGTAAACAACAAACAAAGGTTTCGTGTGAATCACGAACTTCATGTCGAAGTTTCCTTAGAATCCCTTATATCCGAACAGAGTGTATAAGTATTGTCTTGCGCCACTTTTAGTTAAATTCCAGCAATATAACGGCGTAGGCCACCAGAAAATGGCTTCACACATTGTACCCATGTTGGGAATCAAACCCGAACCTTAAGCGTAACGAGTGGACGCTTTAACCAATAGACTAATATCCGAAGTTCATTATAGTGTTTAATAAGGCTGGTGTCATAATGCTGGAATCCCCATTTTCCTGCTCAAATTGAAATAGTGTTGAAATCTGGTATTAATTCTGTGTTTTCCAATAGGTATCCAGTCCGCTCATGGCATGTAACTAAGACGGAAGTCAAGTCGAAAATGGCCTCAAATCGCCCTCGTGTCGCTGTTATATATGTACTACCAGCCTTCTTGAAACTGTCCCATTCCGAAACTTCTCGAATGATCAAGCCTATCATGTTTGTAAACAACCATGGGCGGTAACTCTAAGTTTCACTCACTGCCGCCGACAGCAGTCAGTTTAGATTCAATCATTTACTGCCACTGACAATCACTACACATAACAACAGTCTCTACTGCCACATAACAGTCTTATCAAGTAAACACTTGCAGTTTTGCTTATTATGCGATGAAGTTATTAAAATACTGTTCAAATTCGGCGCAAACAATACTCACCTATCTTTCATCTGACAGTGTGGGAATCTGTGGAGAGCATGAAGACGGAGCTGAGTGTCATGACAGCGGCCAAGTCCCTCACTGTCGTCATCGCCACCTTCGACACCGTCGTCGCCCTCATGGCAGCTTTCATCAGCGTCGCAACCAGGTACCCCTACGGCAGACTCAAGGTCTTCGGCGACGTGTTTGGGAAGGACCCTATACCATCTCACTATGGCAACGGTGAGTATACTCCATCAAACCGTTTGTGATCTTGCAGGGTATAGGTATATTCTGTCATCAAAGAAGATATTCCAATAATACATAAACATTTCCCCTTAAATACGTCCGAGGATGCATAAACCTTTGTGACCTGTATATATAATAATTAAGTAAATATTATCTCAACAAGATATTACTCATGGTTTTCAGAGTATCCTGTTGCCATAGCAGTGACAACCGGCGAATCAGAACCGCCGCCATTTTGAATGGTGGCGCAGTTTGTTCGTTGACCGTGACGTCATCCCACGTAGTGATTTTCTCGTCATCACCTCAGAACAGTTAGATGACGCTAAACAGCGCCACCCCGTGGCAGATAGTGATAGTGTCGGACATCCTCAGGACGGGCGGACATCAGGCGCGGACACCTATCTGTCTACCCGCGGGTCAAGGCTGTTGTTCGTATGTCCGTGTGTCCGCGGACGTGAATGGCCACCATTCTGTACATAGTGTGTAGTGTTTGAATGGCGGGTGCGACCAGTACGACAGGACATGCTGACCCCTTTCGCGAACACCTGGTGTCATCACTGATTTTTAGTTGTCCATTCCACAGCTATTTGCCCTATACGCCAAGTGGAATCTGTTTTGGCAAAACATCTAGTGAGGTTATTCTCCGGCATTGGCAAATTATACTGTTAAGAATCTGGGAATCGTTTATATACATACAGTGTAGATGCATGCATGTGTTATAGAGATTGAACGTGAACATATCAGTTGTATGTAGAGAATCTAGGATAAATACTACATAGTCAGTGTTCTTTCTTTATCTTGAACAATGCTTCCTCTGTACATGACCTGGCATTACTTCACTTAATTATTAGTTAACAACCAACTGGGAATGACCGGACTTCTTTCTGCATACAGTACACTACGGTTATAACGAACTCAAAGGGACAACAAATTTTAGTTTGTTAAAACCGTAATTCGTTATAAACATATATACATCATATATACAGCTAATGGCTGGGACCAAAAACCGAGTTCGTTATATCCGCCAGTTCGTTATAAGCGTATTCGTTATAAACGTAGCTTAATGTATATTGATAATGTCGCGTTGTCGGCCTTTTCCCTTATTTTTGCGCATGTGCAGAAAGTATATTAATCTACATGTGCGCAGAAATAGTTCAACCCCTTTTTACACTCCAGTGGCACGGGTATGGTACAGACAAACCATGATCTGGGCGAATGTGGGATTCGAACCCACGACCGTATGATTCTGGAAAGCCTAGTGTACTCAACTGCAAGTTGTGGCGTCTACGACGATAGAGCAAACAGTCCCCGTTAACTGATTTGGAAAGGAATTAAATGAAATAGACTAAGAGTTTTTTCTCACTACCAAAACACTTTGGTTAATGATTTGTGTTGTGTGTGTGTGTGTTGATTTACGCCGCACTCAGCAATATTCAAGCTTTATGACGGCGGTCTGTAAATAATAAAGTCTGGACAAGACAATATAGTGATTGAACATCTATCAACGCAAATGCGATACGATGACATGCATTAACCATTCGGTAAGCCTGACAACCCGATCCGTTTGTCGCCTCTTACGACAAGCATCGGTTGTTGAAGACCAGTTTTAACCGGCATCTCGTTGGTTTATGAAAACAACACCGATAATAAATAAAATATACAACTTGAAATTAATAAAGCACATCATGACAAAATAAAGAACAGTGATATACCCGTTTTTAAAAATTCAAGTCTCATGATACTCATTCTTATAATGGCTCTAGATCTCGAGTATAGTCATGACAATCACTTACTGTGTTGCCCAAAGACACACACATATGAAAAGAACTTTGTTATTGATGCAAGTAAGGTTATATAAAGTGACAATTATCCATCTGTTTTGTCAACACATGTGAACATGGCACGCAGGAGGCTGTCAGAGGCATTCCGTTGGCAAATTACTGGCATACATGACTCAGGTATGTCATACAGAGCCATTGGACGTCAACTAGACTGTGACCTTACTGTCATCAGAAGACTCGTCATATAACACCGACAGACACGTGAAGTGATGGACCGTCCGAGACCAGGTCCACCCAGAAAGACATCTGTACGGGAAGACATGGCTAAAGCACGTCATGTGAGGCGACCACCCCCAGCTACAAGTAAAGCTCTGAAAGAACACTTGCAACCCAAAAGGCATCTGTCCACCAGAACTGCCCGAAACCGGCTACAATCATTTGGGGTGAAGTCACAAAGGGTCTCAGTCCCCTGTTAACTGCTCATCATAAGAGCCTTCGATTGTCTTGATGTATAGCTCGACGTCATTGGAATCTGGGGATGTGGCGAAAGATCCATTGGTCTCGTGAAAGCAGATTCTTGCTGCACGTCACAGTTGGGCGAATGCGGGTTTGGAGACACAGAAACACTGCATTTACCTCTATAAACATTGTACCAACAGACCCGTATGGTGGATGCTCCGTCATGGCGTGGGGAGCAATATCTCATGACTGTACACTGGACATGGTAACAGTACCAGGCAATCTCAAGGGCGATCGTTACATCCGGGACATCCTCTATCCTGTTGTGGCTCTATTTGACAATCATGCCACTCCAGTTGTTTTTACGGACGACAATGCTAGACCCCATCGCTCTCGTGCTGTGACTGCCTGTACGCAAGGACACACTACTGACACTTTGCCTTGGCCCGCTGGTCCAGATTTGAATCCATGCCTGGGAGATTCTTGGACGTCGGCTGCATGCAATAGATCCACAAGTATAGAAGGTGGCAGCTTTAGAGGCTGCATTGCATTGGGGTGGCAGCAGTTACCTCTTGATCGTACCAGAAGACTCTGAGGGATGAGTTGCGGTCGGGTAGCCTTGTGGTTAAAGTGTTCGCTCGTCACGCCGAAGACCAGGGTTCGATTCCCGACATGGGTACAATGTGTGAAGCCCATTTCTGGTGTCCCCCGCCGTGATATTGCTGGAATAGTGCTAAAAGCGGCGTAAAACCATACTCACTCACTCACTCACTCACTCACTTTGAGGGATGAAGAGAAGGGTAGATTCTGTCATCTAGGCACAGGGCAGTGATATTTCTAGGTTGTATGTGAAGTAGTTTCTAAAGACACATCAAGACTTTGTTAGCTGTTTATTTTGAGAAAGCAGCCATATTGGCAATGTTTGGAGACAATTCCCTCTTCAGCAAACTAATAGCATTGATCTCAGTTGTTTTCATGGCTAATCTTTTCACAGACAATCATCCCATTTAACAAAACAATTAGTTTGATGTTAATGAAAATATCCTTTTCTATAAGCCTATATAAACTGGCATTTTATTTCCTATACATGTCATGTCAGTAAGGTCTGTTTATCCCCACCCTCGTTATAATGCCACATTTCCCACTGGACTAAAGATGGCATTACAACGAGGGACGTGAAAACCAGACCTTACTGTGTCACCATTTCTGCGCAGTTATTTTCACGATACGAATTTCTTCTTATATGTACGAATGACACAAGTATGTAATCGAGATACAACGTCATCTTGCAGTCTATATAAATGTAACATGGGACACGATTAAATTTAAGACATCTGTTAGAATCAACATACCCTCATATGACATATATCTTGCAACCAATCGTCAATGATGTAACGTTGCCAATAAGAGTTGCCTCCCTTGACCTGTTCTCTCACTACTCAGAAAGCACGCTGTTTATAATGGGCGATGTCTACTACACACATTCTCACAGTCCCTAAACCATATTATTTTCCATTCCGGCCAGCCCTTACTGTAATGCTATAGCTCTGAATGAAGCAAGTGTAGATTTTTCACAGGTTTCGAATCTCTTTTCACTGGGGCCTCTTTTCAATTTAAATGTAGTTGCTTTTTATCTATCAAAATTATGTAATTTATTTTCGAGACGAAGAGTTAGTCTAACTACACACCGTAAACACAGACGGGTGAAGAATCAAAGCTTCCTATTGAAACGGAACGGCCAAAGACTGGTCGATAAACTACTAAAATAAATGGATACTGCCACCAGTCACTAAATGTGACAACATATATACCAGAGCTTGGAGACGAGGTTTAGCGAAAATATATCACAAGGATCTATAAAATTATGAATGTCGAAACTAGCGGAATGCAGATGGGTCACACAACAAGTAGTTAAAGTCCAATAACGAGTTCGTTATTTAATCACTGTACTGAAAAAAGCTTGCACATGGTCTCGAGATTTTGAGACACGATACCGGCTGTCAACTGTCAACTGGAAACTGGAAACAACAGTCGCTCGGCATTGTCTGTCACATCGTGGCTCTAGAATTCGGTACTTGTCTGTATCCCTCCAAAGATGGATATATCTGAACTGTTTAAACAATTAAACTGTTCAATAAACTTTGAAACTTGAAAGTGCACGAACTTGGCTGCAACCGGAACTGGATCCATGTAATGTGAACAAAACATTCCGGAAGTCACGTGACCCAGAATGAATGCCAACGAGGCCACACCTCCAAGAGCTGTCAAAATGTGATATTAGTCAGCATGAAGTCAAATTCTTACTAAAGCATAGAATTAAATATATCGGATGGATTCTAGAACTATCCCTGTAAACATCGGTTGATAAAAACCCTTGACTGTGACGGCATCATCAAGCGACTTGATAATATAGACAATATGATCGGAATGACGTCGGACACCTCGGATAGCGACGACAATTGACGACTGTCAAAACATATAAATATAGACTGTGAACTCTAATATTATATGCAGACGACCAATGACCTGCCTCTTGTGATAACTGTAACTGTAGCTTGTGTGCTTGAATCATTACAATCTTGGAAGATTCCGTCGGAAAGAATCCGGAATGGCTGTCGGAATCTCGGCACTGTCAGACGTCACGCAGACGTCAACAAGACGTCATCCGGATGTCCTCAAAGGTAAATCAAAAGTTATGCAATAAAAATCTCTTAGAATGCGAAAAATAAAATTTAGCTGTGACGTTATCCTGGGACCTACCTTAAATTGCTTGTCAAAGTCAAAATTGACGCTGCCAAAGTTAACCTTGACCGGTCTATATATAGTGACCTAAGGTCACATGGTACGCAAACGTGACGTCGGAAAATCCAAGATGGCTACTGTAAACTGGCTGGCGTGACTCAAAGTGGAATTTACTGTTTACTTGATTCTGTAATTCGGAAAAACATTGCATAAAGGTATGTCATCCAAATAACATACAACATGATGCTAGTACCATGATTGAAATTAGGATGATGGCTGAGATCTTTGAAAAACCTGTAAACCTTGATAAAACAGGATGGGTACAATGTGTGAAGCCCATTTCTGGTGTCCTCCGCCATGATATTGCTGGAATATTGCTAAAAGCGGCGTAAAACCAAACTCACCCACTGATAAAACAGGAATTTGTGTTACACTAACAGAGTTGGAACATGTGCGCGACTTACTGACACTACTTACATACCAGCTGTTGTGTCTATCAACAAGCACCTGCCTCTCCCCGCGCTGATACAGTACTTAGTTGCACCTTATATATGATGACAACGCTTAATCAGAGTGAGTGCGTGAGTGAGCATAGTTTTACGCCGCTTTTAGCAATATTCCAGCAATATCACGGCAGGGGACCTCAGAAATGGCCTTCACACATTGTACCCATGTCGGGAATCGAACCTGTGTCTTCGGCGTGACGAGCGAACACTTTAACCACTCGAATGTCCCACTGCCCCCCAGGGTGAGTGAGTGTGTGATGGTGAAGTGTTTTAACACACACTAAAATCCATTCT